GACAAGACAGAAACCATACTCTTTGGCTCTCATCAATGTCTAAAATCACACAATTCTCACCTTCTCCACCTACCCGACCTCCCCCTAAAACTCTCCGAACCTGTACGCAACCGAGGTGTCTGGTTCGACCCCCAATTATCCTTCCTCCCCCACATCCAGTCCCTCACCAGCACCGCTTTCTTCCCCCTCCCACGCATCGCTCATCTCCGTTACTGTGAACAACAGCAACAACAACTTGGATTTATATAGCGCCCTCCACGCTGGACTGCATCTCAGAGCGCTTCACAGTAACGGATCCTGGGGCCGAGTCAGGGGGAGGGGAAGGAAGGTGATCAAAGGTGCGGTCGAAAAGAAAGGTCTTCAGCAGAGACCTGAAAATAAGAAGAGAGGGAACGAGGCGAAGGGAGTGAGGAAGGGAATTCCAGTGCCTCGGGGCATAGTGGCTGAAGGCACGGCCACCGAGGGTGGAGCGGAGGACTTGGGGGAGTGAAGCGCTTTGAGACGCTGTCCGGCTGGAGGGTGCTATACAAATCCAAGTTGTTGTTGTTATTGTTGTTATCTCAACTCGCACTGCCGATTTCAATGTATCTTTCTTTCCTACAATCAGCCATGAACAATTTTATCCTGTGGCGGTCGGGGGGTCGGAGGGGTTTGTTGGCCAGGACACAAGGAGAAATTCCATTCTCCCTAAAAGATCTTAATTTTTCTGCCATGCTTTTGGATTGTAAAACTCAAAAAATTGTATGTTTTCCACCATACCTTCTGTCACTTACAATGTCTCCAACTTCTTGCTCAGTGCCAAACCTTCCATTGCTTTGGGATTTTTTTTCACATGAATGGCATTGCATAAAACAAGTTCTTATTGACCAATATTAAGTTGAATTAGAACAGTTTTAAAAATAGCCAATTCAATAAAAAGTGCTGAACAAATAGCACAATGAAAGTTTATGCTCCAACACAAATGTTCCCTGGGGGTCATCAAAGCAAGGTAACCGGCTAGAATTGACAGCAGGTTTTTCTTTGTTTACTGTTCCAGGTCATCTAGCTGGACAAACAGCCCCCACTGAGACAATAATGGCCGTTTAAAAGTAAATAAAAGGGAGTACTACCTGCATAACCCTCCCAAACACCTCAGCAACCAGTGTTTCAATGCTGGATGATAAAATATAAATGGTTATTGCTCAACAAACAGATTCAGAGTGCATGGCTTTGCAAAGTTTCATCTTTCCCCAAAGGTAAATCAAACAAAGCTGCAGAAAATCTGCCTGATCTTACATCATATATCCTACATCCTTGACTGTTTGCCTTCCTTGATACCAGGGGTTTGCATAGGTTTTACAGGACTTGAAAATCTGGAACTGGACTCCCATGAGCAGCTATTAGGTATGCCTGGTATTAATCAGTTTCCAACTCTACAGTACACCAATAAAATACTGAATATTGGAAATGAGCTCATTAATCCCAAATCACTTTGACAATCTTAATACAGACGCTATGGTGTACAATACTATCTATGTTGCACTTTTCATGTTGAGAGGATGTCTCAATGAATTTTACACGCCAACGGTGGAGGAGCTGAAGAGAGTGAGGGTAGAGGAAGATGACCTAAAGCATCGGTCAATGAAGTGGGTTTTGAAAGTGGAGAAGGAGGGAACAATCAGAGGGACTCCGGGCTGGAATTCCAGAGATCAATGGTGGAGCAGTTAGGGAGGGGATGTGAATCAGCCCGGAATTCACTGAGCGAAGGGAGCATTCATATAATTGGGAGATGAATCATTTCTAGAAGTGGATCATACCCTGGGAGAATGCAGGAGCTGACTTTTTAAAAGCCTCTGTTTATGGAAGCTAAAGTCATTAGTAAAATCCCATCATCACTTGTCTGGAACTAAAATGAACTAACGACTCTGTATTCCCAGAGTGCAAACAGGGAGAACTCACTTCGGCATACAGCACAGGCAACAATTGACACCAGGGACACTGTTTTCACTCTGAACTGTTACCCTTCCTACAAATTTAGGAATTATATTCTGTGAAGACGGTTACAAATCCCTCCTGTCGGCGTTGCTGTGCTGTGAAACACAATCCCATTTACTGTCGTTTCCCTGTTTGTAATGAGACATACCTTGTTCTCTCACTGCTCCTTTTATCTGTTTGTAATATATTTTGCTCTGTCATCTGTTTGCTTCTGTTCCTCTAAGTTTGCTATAAGATTGTTTTTCCTTTGTCTGCTGTTTGTTTTTATTCCTAGATATAAGATTGCTTTCATTCTTTCTACTGTCTCTATTCATCTAGGCATGATATAAGATTGCTTTGCCTCTGATTACTCCCTCTAGTCCTCTAGGTGTGATAAAAAAAATGCTTGCCCTCTCTCTATGTTTCTGTTCCTCTCAGTGTGATTGTTTTCCACCGTCTATTGTTCTCTTTCATTGTTAATGAATAGTTGTTCTTCCAGCTGTTGCTTCCTTTCTTGTGACATCAAACTGACGGGTGTTGCTCTCACTCTTTATCTCTCTGTTGCATTGGCTGTGACATGGAATAACTCACCTGCTTGAAGGTAGTGAATCAAATTAGTTAGGTCACAGTGTTCCACCAATACTTCAACTTATTTTCCATCAGTGAGCCTAGACACTGAGTCTAGACAGTCTAGACTGTGAGTCTAGATAGTCAAAACAGTGAACCTAGATAGCTTAGACAGTGAACCCAGACAGTGAGTCTAGATAGTCTAGACAGTGAATCTAGATAGTTTGGATAGTAAGCCTAGATAGTCCAGATAGTAAACCTAGATAGTAGCCTAGATAGTCTAGACAGTGAACTGGGATAGTCTAGACAGTGAACTGGGATAGTTTAGACAGTGAACCACGATAGTCTAGACAGTGAACTGAGATAGTCTAGATAGTGAACCTAGATAGTTTAGACAGTGAACTGGGATAGTCTAGACAATAAGCCTAAATTGTCCAGATAGTGAGTCGAAACAGTCGAGACAGTGAGTCTAGACAGTGAGCCTAGACAGTGAACATAGATAGTGTAGACAGCAATCTTAGACAGTTTAGACAGTGGGCCTAGACAATATAGACAGCAAGCTTATTCATTGAGCCTAGAGAGTCTAGACAGTGAGCCTAGAAGCTCCAAACAATCAGCTCATTGCTCAATTTCACTTGTCGCATACTTACTATTTGCAGTAGGATGACTGGCTAGTAATTAAGAAAGCAAACGCTGAAAAAAACAGTCAATCAAGAAGAAATCTAATTGTTTAATGGAGAAGCAATAGGACAATTGAGTCTGGTAAGGAAATCCAATATACGTCATACCGACACAGGAAGACACTGTACTGATGTTTTACATCGGTTTCAACGTATCAGATATGTTATACATTCTGAAGCACTTTTGCTAGCTATCAAAAGACATTTACACAGTGCTTTTCCCATTCAAGAGAAATTTCAATTTCAACTCAATCATTATCTGATTGTTGCCCTTGCTATCCCATGGACAAGGGCTACCTGCAGAGATCCCACCTCTGGTTAAGATCAGCTATCTCAGCATAGACAAGAGACCAAATCTTGGAGCACCCTAGTCTGAATTGTTCAGTGCCATACTTTTGAGTTACCAGCAGAGATTTTTGTGGTTTTTTTAAAATACAGTAAAACTTGCATAGGTCTGATCTGTATATGTCGTATAATCACTCAAGTCGTACATTTGCCCAAGTCCTGTCCAAGAGTTTACATTCTATGCACGTTTGACTTAACTCATACTTTGCAATAAGTCATACTAAATGTATGGTTCCAACTGATATGACTTGTATAAGGTTTACTGTAGATGCCTGTCCTGCATTGAACTGGGAACTATTGCCTCCATTTGAAGGGACACTGGTATTTATGTTAGCCTGGATTCTGAGGTCACTTTACTTGTTGGAATGATATATTATTTAGCAGCTGTGTATAAAAATAGCCTTGGTTTATATATAAAAACGACCAAGAGGCCAACAACAACAAATTGCATTTATATAGTACCCTTCACATCGGGAACATGGAACAATGCCCACTGAATGGAGGGAACCAACAGATTGGTAAGGTTTTAGTAAGTCACAGAGGTAGGGAGCAAGGTATCTATTCCTAAATATTAATTTGAAACTTGAGCCCAAAACGTTTTGCCTCATGATGTTGATTTGTTTAAGTGGTCACTTGATCCTAAATGTGAAGTACTCCCAGTTTATTCATGTGAAAATCATAACCCGGTGTTGTATTGACATTATGATCCACACAATTTATTGTTCACTTTGCAAAATGCCCAATTCATCACAGCTCTAATTCCATAACTCAGCAGATTCCAGCCACAGAGTTTGTCATGTTAGATTTCCCCTTGTCGATGCACGACTGTGCATGTGAATTTCTGCAGTCACTGGGGCTGAAGTGAACAAAGGATAAAATGTTCACCTTCATTACTTGAACACAAGCCATTTAAAGATTAAAAAGACAGGCTTTTTTTATTTTAATTGGATTACTGAGAAACATGCACAATATAAAATGTTGATCTCCTGTCAGATACCTGCTAAGTGCCAGCTGCTGCAAATAATTTAATTGTGCTGAGAGGGTATTATAGATAAAATGGCCATCCCATTGGAACTCCAGTAGCAAAACATGACACAAGTGAACATCAAATCGTTAATTCTGAAAAGGTAGGATGGCAAGAAGGAAACCATTTCATTAAGTGACACTGTACCAGAAGATATTTCAAATAGTACTCATTGAAAAGGAGATATCAGAAGCTAAAGCCTTTTAAAATGAACGAGAGATAAGCTGTTTCTCCATTTAGAGAAGAAATAATACATCACTATCAACATGCTTTAAAGTAGATGTGAAGAGACTTAAGAGACTGCAATAAGATCTGCCATTAATCTTCAACCACTTGGTGATTCCCACATATGAGAATCATGCCATGCTTTCTTTAGGTGAGAGATGAAGTGATTCAAACTGGAATATACATTCACACAAGCACAAACTTACCGACTGTCAGCTGCCCTGTAATCTGTCCAAGGTTATTGCGTGCATTCACGGTTACATTTCTGTCAGACTGCAACATCAGTGGGCTGTCCTGAGAAATAATGACAAGAGGGGAAACATGGGGTGGGGAAAGATAAAAGAAAAATATATACCGAGGTGAGTTTGGCATAAGCAGTACAAAATAATCAGAACAGGCTTATTGACATTCCCTTTAAACTAGGAAAACAAATAAAGACTTATAGAACATCTATTTTGCTCAGATTAGTACTTTTTCAAATCTGTATTGTTCTTCATTGTTCACCTGCAAGTTGTTTTCTTAATGCAACTAATTAATCATTGGATTAAGAATGAATTATTTCTTAAACCGCATTTCAGTTGTTAATACATAATTTACTGAAACCATTAAACAAGCAAAGGAGCAATAAATACTAAACACCCACAGCTTTTCAGATTGACAAATATCCAAGTTAAGACAGTCATCTAACAACATGATCCTCAGCATCTAATACATTCTGTAAGCTTTGGTGCATTCAACCTGAATTTTGATGGTGGCAATGTTCCTTCTTGGCAACGTTCTTAACTGATTGAACAGCAAGATCAGTACAGATGAAGAAGGCCCTTTGGCCCATCTGATTTCAGCCTTCCCGAACACCCATTCTACCTTCCACCTATCACAGGATCCAGCTGTTTTTTTTAAAAATGAGTCTGGTGTCCTGATAACTTGTTCTAGTCATTATTAATAATAATCCTTATATTTGATATAATGCCTTACTGCATCATCAAGATGTCTCATAACTCTTCACAGGATATACTGAAAGTGATGTGGCTGTGTGTATTATGTGGGTGAACTATATGCAGTAATTCGAGGTGTGGTCTGACCAGACCGCTATACAGCTTGAGTATGAAGTCTGGGAATCTAAACACAACTGTTTTAACAATACAGCCTAGCCTTCTGTTTCCAATGTATTCGTTTATTAATGATTAAATAGTACAAACCTAGAAATAAATAACACAAACAAGACATGTAGGCAATGTGGCAGTGTTGCTGTTTGATCGCTTTTGCAGCTTCAATCATTAAGAAAACAGACCTTGAAAGAACCTTCCAACAGTCCAAAGCTTGCTGTTCAAATGAAGTCATTGCATCAGTGATAATGACTAATTTGTCCCGATCCAAGAAGTTATGTTGTTCAGCCGACAGAAACCCATCGTCACGCTTGAGAGTAACCAAACGAGACAGAGTTTCATATATGTATGCCACCTACACATGGAAATTTTAATTTGGAATAGAATGGAATGCCCACTTTCACTAGAGAGAAAAAAAAACTAATTTGAGAAAATATTAGATGCAGGTTAGCAAGACACAAGACTAGCTAGCTAAAACTGTATAGCTTGCTACTGCAAACACTGGCTGATCCACTCAAGAAAAGTATTTCTTGAATCCATAAAGTTGCCCTTGATCTCTGATCCAGTGCTTCAAATAGATGTCATACATGGATCAAACCTTTAATCCTGTCTTCAATCTAGAATGTTCGGATCTGTTTGAGGATTATACAGCTACATACTGGGTTGAAGATCACTCAAAGGGCATAATTGCTGGAAAAATAATCTCCAATGTTAGCTCTTATCTTTTGCAGGGAAGACCCTGTCTGTCATACCAATACAACAGCTTGAACAGGAGATCTCATCAAAGCTAAAGTCTCTTGAGTTGACATTACGTACATGGTATTCCCTGTAGAAAACTTATTTTATACCATTATACCACTAGCTACTCTCTAATTAAAACTGGAACGTTTTAATCCCTGAAGTGTTCACAACAACATTAAAAGCCATAGATGTGAACCATTGATATTAGCAATCACAGACTGCTGACAATTAAAAACAATTACAAGGTGCATTATCTCAAATTGTGTACCCCAAGTATAACTGGCTTCTTTATAGCTGTAGTTAAGTAAAAAAGTGTTTGAGGTGTAGATCCATTTCATTGTGCATGTTCAATCAGCTCACTAGCTTCCTGTGTCCAGCCAGCTGTCTCCAATGTTAAAATGGCTGTCTTCTAGGATATCAGTTCACTATTGAGACTGTAGCATATGTAAAGATCTGATAAATAGGAAGTTGGCCATTTTAGGTTCTTGTGTGTTAAAAATAATGGACGTCCAGGTCATCAGGTCATTGCTTCACTACACTAACTCTCTGCTCTAGCCAAACATCCCGACTCTTCCGTCCACAAGCTGCAGACCATTCAGAACTCCGCAGCTTGTGTTCTCTTCCGCACCAGGCTCCATGAAGCCTATCACCTCCATTCTTGTCCTGCTCCACAAGCTCTCAACCCCCAGAGGATTGAGTTAAAGAGCCTCGTCATCACTTTTAAAGCACGCCACCATCTTGCTGATCCTAAATTAGTGACCTTTTAAAGCTATACTAACCCACTTGCTCTCTCCACTCGGTAGGCACTGGTCTGCTTCACACTTCTGCCTTGCCTGTCCCACCATCGGCAGTCAGGCCTTCAGCCTATCTGCCCCCAACCACTAGAATTCCATCCCGGAGTACCTTCACTCTCCTCCCTTGCCTCCTTCAAGGTCTGCCTTAAGACCTTCCTCTTTGACCATGCCTTCAGTCATCCTTCAGATGAAACATTAAACCAAGGTTCTGTCTGCCTGTTCAACTGGATATGAAAGGAACTATTCCAAAAGATAAGTGCCCTTTCTTCTGGTGCCCAATGACCCCCCTGAATAAAATTTGTCATTAACTTCATGACTCTACGTGGGTTATTGCTCTCCCCAAATTTGCTGCTGCATCTGTCTATGTATGACGCAATCACTACGCTTTACAGTGAATGTGAAGTGCTTTGAGATGTGCTCCCACATGATAAGCACTCCATCAAATGTAAGTTTTTTTATATAAATGAAGCAAAAGGGGCTTCTTCACCGGAACCAATCCTGTGATCTTGTGAAGTGAAGTGATTGTTCCTTCAGAGAGACAATATACCCATTAGAGGTTCCTTACCTTTATCTGTTATTAAGCAGAAAAGCAACTCCATTTGCAAACTTGCCAACTTTGGATAAGAAACAATGCTATGCATGTATCGCTGTTATATTGTAATTTCAGTCAGAAGATGCTGATAGCATTTCAGTCTGAAGCAGAAAAGGATGAAAACTGTGGTGACTACAATTTGTTTTGGAGGAAACAATTGTGCTCCCAAATCCTATAAAGAAAATTAGATGTACATTCACAATGCTTCACAACGTTTCAGAAGAGGTCACTATTCCCCTGATGGCATCAGAAGCTTATAAAAACAAATATTGAATATAATTTCAGACTGAAACCTATCTTCATTAACCTTGACAAATGACTTGATAGCTCTGCAGGCATTGCAATTCTGCAGTTAACTGGAAGATTGATGGGTTAGGTACAGTGTACATTCTAGTATGCATTCTATATTACTACTGTAGTTTGAACATTATGGACAAGTCAGTGACCAAACCACAGTCTAAGTATAAAAGCTTCTCTTAATATGGTGAGGACAGAGGGGTAGGTGAGTCAATCATCTTATACAATGTTATAATTAACAGACAGAATCGACAAATAATGGCAGAAGCAAATTAATATCAAACTGGAATAGAAAGAGAAAGGAAGAGTAGATGAAGGTAACTGGAAGGGAAGTATAGGCACTGGCAGTGAGAGAGAGAGAGCAGATATATAAACCCAGAAATTTAGAAAGAATGAAAATGAAAGAAAAAAATATATAAAGGAGCATGTGAAAAGGGATGAGAATCAAATAAAAATAAAATAAAACACTATTGTATTAGATTTAAACTTAGAAGACTACAGCAAACTCCTAATAACAAGACCACTACCTCTGAAGTAGCCATGCTATCTATATCCTTGCCATTTTCCATGCAAAATATTAATAAGGGACTCTGCTCGACTTGTCCGTCCATCCCCTCTCCCCCCCACCTCCCTCCCCACCCTCCACCCTTCTTGATTCCATCCCCCAGCTCACGTGCAACACCTTCATTGTCCTTCCAATGTGAAGTGCGCTACGTAAATGCAATTTGTTATTGTAATAGTGCCCCTGTGTGGCCCGGGAAGACTTTTGCCTAACCAGCCACTCTGGATAACTAGTCACCGAGGCCCTTTTCCTTGAAGTGATGAGTTATCAGGAATTCACTATATTTGCTCTGTAAGTTTAATTAGAATGTAAATTTGTGATGTGATAATTATCTTAACCTAACATCTGTTCTTGGTGATAGCTTTGGAAGGGAACAATCCCAAGTTCAGGAGTTATTATTAATTATTATGATGCTGATGATGTCATGAGTCAAGTGATAATTATTATATTACAAATCAAATGTTCCCATTAATATACCAGAACATTATAAAGACAAGTTTGATTAGGGTCAATTTTGTAATATTTCTCAATTAAGAAATGAGGACTGAGATATTTCTGGTTACTGGAGGGAGTCACAAATCGCATTGAGAAATGAAGCAAAATTGACCTCAATGTTTCCATTCTTCTTCCTGGTGTAGCCAGAGTCCCAAGATCATTTTGGAGGGGGACATGTATCTTTCTTCCACAGGATTTGACTGTTTTAGATACTGTTCTTCATAGTGTCCACTAATCATGACTAACCATGCAAATGTTATGTTAAGGTCTCAGCTTGGTTCAGTTGGTAGGCTTCTTATTTCTGAGTCAGAAGGTTGTTAGTTTAAGTCCTACATTCAAACTTTGAGGTCACAGTCTGACAATCCAGTGCAGTGCTTGGAGTGCCATCCTTTGAATGAGATGTAAACTAAGTTCCCACCTCTCTTTTCAGATATATATTAAAGATTCAATAACACTATTTAAAAAGGAATATCCTGCCCAAGAATCATCCAAGTAAATTGATCAGTCAATTCATCTTTGTTTGCCTACAAGTGCACAATTATTACATTTGGTAGCAATTGCTATAGAAGTGTTTTCAGATGTTTCAACATTATAGGTGCTATGTCAAATACAAGGATTCTTATTATTATGTAGCACATTATTATCTTTCTCAAGAGACTCATTGGGCTTGATGTTGAAACAGATTTGATTTTGGTGAAGCAATGTAA